GGGGGGGGGGGGAAGAAAAGGGGGGAAAGAGTGAAATATTTAAGATCTGAAAAAACAACCAAAAAAAGAGAATAGTTTGAAAAGTAATTACAATATTAGGAAGAAACAGAAGAAAGGATTACAGAAGAGAGAATTAGAATTAGAGAGACAAGGAGTCAAAAAGGGGAGGGAGAAGAAGAGGGGGAAGAGGAAAAGGAAAAGAAGTTATAAAGGACAGAAGCAGGATATAGAGAAACAGGGAAAATGTACAAGGATTAAGGGTATAAGCCTATTTAGAAGACAGAGATAATGGGTGAAAACTTAATTGAAAGAGGGATTCTGCAAGGGTACATAAGATAGTATTGTTATATTAGAAATAGAAATGAACTTAGAAAATATGAAACAAGTGTGATTAAAATGATAGATAAAATACTCATTGTAATGTAATGGAATTTTGTTAATAAATAAATGAAATAAAGAGAATGAGAGAATAAAATTAGGAAAGGATAGGAACATTTTAATTATTATTAATGAGTTATAGAAATTTAAGTGAAGAGGAATATTAAAGAAATATGAAAAAATTATGGAAATATTATAAGTGTTCCTAAGGAAGTATGATATCTCATTGAAAAGAAATGTTAAAGATGTTAAAGATTATAACTAACATTAATGATAGAGCTGAATTGGAATAGAATAAGTATTTTATTTATTATTGTTATATATGTATACTTTCTCTTTAAGAACTTAGTATGTATTTTAAGAATGTACCAAGCAGAATTCGACTGGAAGTTATGTGTTATATTAAATGTTATAATTGTAAAGGCATAAACTGAAGTTTAAATAAGAGTTGAATGGACAAAAATTAAAAGATACAAAGGTGTCATACTCCAATCAGTAACTACAGGGGAAAATTTTGTTTAATGAGAAAAGAAAATATGAAATTGAAACAGGACAGACAAAAGTATAAATATAATGATTAGAAAGATATTGAAACTTAGAAAAAGATATATATAATTGAATTTAGAAAGGAATGAGATAATTAAAAGCAAGGTTGAGAAAACTAAGGGAAGGGAAAAATTATTAAGAAAATGTTAAAATAGTAATAAGATATGGAATAGAACACAAAGATGAATATGAAATTGAGTTTGTGTCTGTATGGAGAAGTGATGACCCGGGACCATGCTATTCTCAAAAAAAGATATTTTATTTGTATTATGTTTTGTGAAAATCCAAATAAAACTTTTACATACATACATACATACATACATACATACATACATAAATACATACATAA